GGAGGACTAGCCAGGCGCGCTTGTCTGAAGTTCGGCTCCTGTGGGAGGTCGAGAGTGACTGAACCCTGCGAGATGAGGGGGACAGGCACGGGTTGAAGAATCACGGAAGGCAGGGCTCGACCGGAGGGCTCGATGGAACGAGCGGCGGCGAAGGACGACGTTGGGGGAGCTCGGCGACCCGAGGCAACTACGGGCGTTGCGGGAGGGGCCAAGAGGGCCGGGCGTGCGAGCTCTTCCAGGGATAGGCCTGTGGGTGAGAGGTTGTCGCTCACCAGGGAATTCTGGTCAGGCTGGATGCTCTGACTGGCTGTGTTGGTTGGGTTATCATCCACCAGGAAGACCTGGCTGGGGAGGAAGCCGTCTCCAGAGACAGCTCCTTCGCTCTCTTCAAATTCCTGACTTGGCTGGAACTCACTTGAGTTTGGGGTATCTTGGCCTACAAGGAATAACTGATCATCTTCAGACACCTCATCTGGGATGCTGACAAATACTGACTGATCATTAAGGCTGCCTCCATCATTGGCAAGAAGAATGTCGTCGGAGGGAGCTGTGAGAGTTGTTTCAGCTGCCTGAAGAGATTTAGCTGCAGGGTCACCGAGCGTCTGGAGGTTTCCTTCATCACCAAGGATGAGAGACGCCGTCGCAGGGGCGAACGTGTCTTCAACTTTGTCATCTTCGGGTACCACGATAAACAGAAGGTCATCCTCGTTACTCGCAACAATCTGGCTGGTAACCCTGACGTCAGTTTCAGCTGAGTCGTCGTCAATGAAGATAATGCTTCCGGGTTCTGCTGGATTCAAAGCATCAAAGCTGCCACCAAGGTCGTTCACGTTGTCAAGTTCATCTTCTAAGTCATCCTCATCAATGACAATGATGCTGCCAGGATCAACATCGCGAAAGCCATTGACATTAACACTAGCTTGGTCTTGCACAAGAGCGCTAAAGCTTGGCTCGCCCAGAACCACAGGAACTTGTGTAGGGCCCGCCTGAATGGTGTTCCTGACAGCCGTCTCAGGTATAAGGTTGCTTGTGGCAGGGGGAGTATATCCTGTTGCTGGAGGAGGACCAGCAGCTGCTGGCTGAACACCAGAAACGATGTCATTAGGACGAGGTGGGGCGTATCCTGAAGGTTGTGGCGCAGGCGCTGCAGGGGCGTATCCTGAAGGTTGTGGTGCAGGCGCTGCAGGGGCGTTGTAGGTTGGAGCAGGGACAGGGGCAGGAGCAGGAGCAGGAGCTGAGGGATAAGAAGGAGGAGGAGGAGGAAGGAGAGAAGGAGTAGCAGCAGCAGCAGCTGGCGGGTTGTACCCTGTAGAAGGTCCCTGTGAGTTCACCACCGAATTTGGCTTAGGCGCCCCAAAGCCAGACTGGTGAACTGGAGGGCGATTGGCCTGTGGAGGGGGAGTGGTGGGCACCCACTTTGCTACGTATTCTGGCCTCTCTTTGGGTATCCACCGGGGAATGAAAGGAGGGCGCGGGACGAACAAGGGAATATTATCAGTGTTCCCGCGTCCCAGCCACTTGAAGGACCTACTGCGACCCGCCGGACGGATGATGAAGTTGAGAAGGTTGCTACCGTAGCTCGCCAGAGTTATGTCCATGGTTAGTAGGGAACAGACCAGCAAAAGGGTCACCTGGAATCGAGAAGGGGTTAGAGTTAGTTGGTATAGCGTAGTAAGATTAAGAGGATAGCCGACTAAATGCAAGAGGCAGGTTAGTTAAGCATTTGCTAACATCTAATGGCTAACACTTTGCTAAGAACATTGTCAGACCAGCTGAAAGCACAGGTGGGGTTTATTTACAGGGGACGAAATGGAAGGTTAGCAAGCAAGCATCAGAGCTGGGAATAAGAGGATTCCCCTGCACCGCCATCCGAGACTACAGCGTTAGAGGCCCCACTAAGGGCAACGGGCACGGGCGGGTTAGAGAGCTGTGGGGCGGGGCGGGAGCCCCGGATTAGAGAAGGAGAGCCGAGAGGCGCGGGTGCAAAGGTCGCCAGAGGGTCCTCTGTATTGGCGAGGGGAAGAGGAGCAGGGGGGATGGGGGCCGTGAGCAGGGGCGCCTGGGCTTTGGGAGCAGAGTGCGGTGTCGCCTTGAAGGACCCGCCCGAGGAGGTGTGGTGCTTAGGTGGGGAGGAGTAGCTGTCGTGGGTTGCAGCGACGACGGAGTTGCCCTTGGGTGGACCAAAGCCTGAGGGGATGGAACCCGCGGGGGCTGCGGCCTTGTGCCCACCGTGCCCGCCGTGGGCGCCGTGCCCCCTGGGGGGAGCGGGGGTTTGGGCTACCCAGAAGGCGGTGTAGGTCGGGTCCATGTGAGGCACCCACTTGGGAATGAAATAAGGCTTGGGGATTGAGAGCGGGAGGTGATCAGTGTAGCCGTAGCCCACCCATGCGTGCTGCCTGCTGGGCCCCGCCGGCCGAATGACGAACGAGGGCTTTGGCTGCGAGCTGTAGTCGCCGCCCACCATGCTCGCACACGCCCACACCAACAGCACTACCAACGC